AAATTTCAAAAAAAATTAAATCAATTTTTCTTCAAAATATGAAAAATCGCAACCCTGTAGTTGGGCGCTATCAGAGTTTTTTCAGGGGGTTGCGAACCTTGCCTCCAATTATGACTGCTCAAGTTGCTGTAGATTTCGAGATATGACGTTTTTTGTGATTTTTTCAAAACAATTTTAAAATATTTAAAATAATTTTTTTTTCAGAATTTGAAATTCTTCACCCTGTATCTGGGTGCTGTCATGGTACTCTCAGGAGTTGGGAATTTTGCTCCAAATCTGACTGCTCAAATTCTTTTATTTTTCGAGATATGACGTTTTTTTTGTGATTTTTCAAAAAAGTTTTCAAAAGAAGTTTAAATAATTTTTTTCTTCAAAATTTGAAAATTGGCAAACCTGTAGTTGGGGGCTATCAGAGTACTTTCAGGGGTTGCGAACCTTGCCTCCAATTTTGACTGCTCAAGTTGGTGTAGTTTTCGAGATATGACGTTTTTTGTGATTTTTTCAAAACAATTTTCAAAAACAAATTAATTTTTTTTTTTAAATTTTAAATTCTGTAAGCTGTAGTTGGGTGCTGTCAGGGTAATCTCAGGAGTTGCAAATCTTGACTTCAAATTTTACTGCTCAATTGCTTTTAGTTTTGTCGTATGACGTTTTTTGTGATGTTTTCAAAAAGTTTTCAGAAAACCCAAACAAACTTTTTTTTAAAAACAATTGAAATTCCCAACCCTGTAGTTGGATGCTTTTGGGGTACTCCCAGGGGTTGCGAATCTTGCCTCCAAATATGACTGCTCAAATTCTTGTAGTTTTTAAGATATGACGTTTTTTGTGATTTTTCAAAAAAGTTTCAGAAAACCCAAATAATTTTTTTTTCAGAATTTGAAATTCGCAACCCTGTTTTTGTGGGGACTATTAGAGTACTCTCGCGGTTTGCGAACCTTGCATCTAATTATGACTGCTCAAAATTTCATCGATATCGTCGGCAAGAGTCTTGAGTCGGGTTTTGTAGCTTGTATCAGGATAGCCCAGTATCCAATCTGCCGCTCTGCGTTGGACTTGTTCGATTGTCTTCAAGTCGGTTTTGGATGGAAAACAAACACAACTGCCGTACATGATAATGGGGACTATCATTGACTTGTACATGTTAAATTTATGATACCATGTCAAACTCGGAGAGCTGTTGCGCTTGATAGGTGAAAGCATAGTGTTTGCCTTTCTGCATGCTGTTGTAAAGTGGATGCTCCATTTGAGGTTGTTCGTGAGAATGACGCGCAAAGCTTTTTCTTGAGTGACACTGGAAAGTGGTTGACCCAGTATGTTAAGGCTTGTGTTGGAGCTTTTCTCCCAAACGAGATGAGGTGGCAGTTGTCATAATTGAATATGTGACCAGTGTTTGTCGATAAATATGCGTCCGTGGCCGAGAGAGCAGGGCGTGAGGCTCCAAATCTCGAAGTCGCTGGTTCGAATCGGAAAAGTAGTAAAGTTTTTTTTTTAATTCGAAGCTTAATTCTTCTTTTTTTATTTAACTTTTGAAAGCTTCTTTTTTTGTCGTTTTCTCGAGATTGTTTGCGAAGCACAGCTGCGCCTCAATGTTCAAATATTTAAACAGGTTCAATTTATCTTATACAGACTAAGTCAACTTATGTTGCGTTATTTCGAAGGCAAAATATATCAATATGCGATAATGTTTCAATTTGTATGGGTCGTAACAATTTTTGAAACCTATGAATTTTTTTTACATTGGTTTTGTTTTCGGCTCAACAGGTTAAGACCCAAAGTTTGTCGCCTTTGTTGTCGCTCTTTAAATTATATCTATTTTCATTAAAGGCTGTTTATGAACTTCGTCCGATGCAAACATGAAGTTTTTTGTATCTGATATTTTTCATCTTTTTTCTAGTAATTTTTTAGATTGTTTTCCTTCCACTATCTTGTTTTTCAGATTGTTTCTTTTCACTAGCTTAAATTTTTGATTTGCATCGCGAGTGCTGCGAAGCTCTGCTTCGCCTCTGTGTTAAAAATTCTAATTTAATCAAGCGTCTGGCGCACAGGTTAAACATCTACTTGAGACGGCAAAGGTTTGTTGTTCGAATCCGGCTGGATCTGTTTTTTTTTGGCAAACTAGAGTTTTGTGCTTTTTCTGGCTATCGTCCGTCTGTTTATTTGAGTCGACTTAGTTCCCTTACCCCAATTTTTTGTGAAGTTTCAAGTTTTTTCTTAGTTGCTATAGCACTTCCAGGAGTTGTAAATCTTGCCTCAAAATATGACTACCCAAATACTTGTACTTTTCGAGATTTGACGTTTTCGTGATGACGAAAAAAAGGAATTAAAAAATTTATCAAATAGGAAATTACCAACCATGTAATTGGGTGCTTTCAGAGTTCACTAAAAGCCAGCAGATCTGGTTTCCAGATCATGTTTCCAGTTTTTCATGTTGTCAAAAATTCGAAGCACCGAAGGTGCGTTACACTCTAGTTATTATTAAAGCTTCGCGGTAGAACCGCACGGAGTGATTCCAAAACAAAAGAGTTAATTTAGAGTATCACGGCATCCAGAGCACATGCAGGCAAACCTCCATGTGCACAGTCTATCGACATCGAAGAAGTTGTTGAAATACTGCCAAAAGAAGTGTAAAAGTCTTCCTTTCAAACCATTGCGTGAGACGTCAATTTTCTTACTGATGATATTCAGGAGTCTCGGTGTGCGATACCAGAAATTTCCACGACTAACTTCGAGGTTAAGAATGGGTAAACTGAATACTTGTAATGAGGAATTTCTTGTGTTGTAACTTGGTTGATTGAAAGACAGAAACCTTCTCCAGTCGAAGTTGTATTTGTTTTCTATTATTTTAGAAAGCGTTAAGACGTCATGTATCTGCATATTCATCGATATCGTCGGCAAGAGTCTTGAGTCGGGTTTTGTAGCTTGTATCAGGATAGCCAAGTATCCAATCTGCCACTCTGCGTTGGACTTGTTCGATTGTCTTCAAGTCGGTTTTGGATGGAAAACAAACACAACTGCCGTACATGATAATGGGGACTATCATTGACTTGTACATGTTAAATTTATGATACCATGTCAAACTCGGAGAGCTGTTGCGCTTGATAGGTGAAAGCATAGTGTTTGCCTTTCTGCATGCTGTTGTAAAGTGGATGCTCCATTTGAGGTTGTTCGTGAGAATGACGCGCAAAGCTTTTTCTTGAGTGAGACGGGAAAGTGGTTGACCCAGTATGTTAAGGCTTGTGTTGGAGCTTTTCTCCCAAACGAGATGAGGTGGCAGTTGTCATAATTGAATATGTGACCAGTGTTTGCCGATAAATATGCGTCCGTGGCCGAGAGAGCAGGGCGTGAGGCTCCAAATCTCGAAGTCGTTGGTTCGAATCGGAAAATTAGTAAAGTTTTTTTGTTAATTCGAAGCTTAATTCTTATTTTTTTATTTAACTTTTGAAAGCTTCTTTTTTTGTCGTTTTCTCGCGATTGTTTGCGAAGCACAGCTGCGCCTCAATGTTCAAATATTTAAACAGGTTCAATTTATCTTATACAGACTAAGTCAACTTATGTTGCGTTATTTCGAAGGCCAAATATATCAATATGCGATAATGTTTCAATTTGTATGGGTCGTAAAAATTTTTGAAACCTATGAATTTTTTTTTCATTGGTTTTGTTTTCGGCTCAACAGGTTAAGACCCAAAGTTTGTCGCCTTTGTTGTCGCTCTTTAAATTATATCTATTTTCATTAAAGGCTGTTTATGAACTTCATCCGATGCAAACATGAAGTTTTTTGTATCTGATATTTTTCATATTTTTTCTAGTAATTTTTTAGATTGTTTTCCTTCCACTATCTTGTTTTTCAGATTGTTTCTTTTCACTAGCTTAAATTTTTGATTTGCATCGCGAGTGCTGCGAAGCTCTGCTTCGCCTCTGTGTTAAAAATTCTAATTTAATCAAGCGTCTGGCGCACAGGTTAAACATCTACTTGAGACAGCAAAGGTTTGTTGTTCGAATCCGGCTGGATCTGTTTTTTTTGGCAAACTAGAGTTTTTGTGCTTTTTCTGGCTATCGTCCGTCTGTTTATTTGAGTCGACTTAGTTCCCTTACCCCAATTTTTTGTGAAGTTTCAAGTTTTTTCTTAGTTGCTATAGCACCCGTGCTTGACGATAAAGCTCGGGAGTTCGGTTCCAGTCGGGGCGTGTTTTTGTGCAAACTGAAAATTTTCGGCTAATTTAGATTTTTGTCTGTCTGCTTATTTTTTTCGTCATAGTTCCCGCAGAATAGTTTTTTTGAAAGTTTGGCATTTTTGTAGCATTCCGAAAGCTCTTGGTAAAGTTTATAATGGTGCAGGTAATTTTGATCCGGACCTTTTGGGCTTTTTTGCGATTCTTAATTTTTTTTTTGTGACAAAAGATATTTTTTCCAATTTTTTTTTTAAGAGTAATGAACGTAGTTTAGACTCTTATATAGGTCTTGCTGATTTTTTTTTTTTTTCAGGAGTCGCTAATAACTACAGAGGTGCATTCATTCATATTGATGCATTCATGAATGCATTTTTTGAGTTCAATTGAAATTCATCCGCTGAAATAGCACTCTCCAAATACGAACGTGGACATGGCGCGAAAAACGTGAACGATTTCTAGTTTCGAAAATGGAATTTAATTTTTAGATTTCCAGCGGAATAAAAATTTTACCTATCGATCCAGTTTTATCTAGTTGGCTCATGTTATCAAAAAAGTGCCTATCATAAATTGTTCTAGAAATTCAGAGAGCTTAAAGGTCATCTCTTTTTTGAAATTCGAAAGTTGAGATTTTTTCAAGAAAGTCTGTGGTTTTTTATGTTTACTTGCTTTCATTACTCTTTTCCAATCTTCGATTGGCTATGTTTTTTCTTTTCATTTGATTTTAATCACAGTCGCTCATTTTTGTATCCAAATTGGTGCGAAGCTCAGCTTCGCCTCTGTGATATTACTCAAAGTATCAAAAGATCAATAACTGACCATTTCTGTGTTCAGGTTATGCGTGAGGTGGTTGAGCTGTACCGGGAGGAGCTGGTGCCGGACTACATCCAGATGGCTCAGTGTCTCATCTTTCTGAACGACTCTGGTGCAGTGGCAGGCATGCTGGACACCTTGCTGAACACGGTAGGACAAAATAAAGCCTCAGTTCGAAACAAAGACTTTATCAGAACGGTTGACTAAAACCAAAAAGTGATAGAAAAAAATGTTCAGGATCAAAAGTTAAAAACAAGAGACTACGTTTTTGTTTTAAATCAAATTGAATCGATCAGTGTACGGTTTTGAGATGAATTCTTTTTTCCTTCTTGTATGTTTTGAGCACTGAATTTGTTGGCGACTTCACCTTTTTCTTTTGCAGAACGAGGAGCTGTCGTACCAGATTGCATTCGATGTATACGAGAATGCGACTCAACACTTCGTCACTAGTGTGTCTCGCATCCTGTCTGGAGAGTCGGCTACCTCAGAAGAGCATGCGCGCGGAGGTGCAGGAGGCACTTCTACTCTCCCTCCTGCGGGAGGAACCACTCCTTACTCTGATGTCACCTTGATGGAGTCGGGCAACACCTCGGCCATGGAACAGACTGGGTATGCTCAGCCCATTGAAAGTTGTTGAATTGAGAGACAATGAGTTGAAACCTCTGTCGAACTCATTTTATTGTCGCCAGAAAAGTTCAATTACAAGTTTTTCAATTTACTAAGTGAAACCGCAGCTGAATCAATATCTACTACCTTATGTCTTCGAGTTTCTCGTGTTCTTTTCAGAAGTGAAACCCCGATGGATACCTCTGTGTCGCAGGCGTCTACTGTAGTGGACACTCCTGTCACGACAACCGAAGAAGTCACTCCAACCTCAGACTCGGCGGCTGCTGCGCCTCCCGGAGAATCTTCCCCAACTGCAAGCACCGCCGAAATAACTAAATCTGCAGGGCCACCGTCTAATGTGAGAAATTTTTCGGAAACATGGAAATTGTAGAAGCCGTTAGACCGTGAGATTTGTAATACTTAGTGTCAGATTTACCTAGAGCCAAACTAAAACAACGAAGTGATTCTCACTTATGTAGGTCTTGATGATTTTTTTCAGGATTTTATTCACACTCAAAATTGATTTTTCGCGGTTCGACTTTTTATATATTTCGAGTTCAGTTCTTTTCTTTTGTTAAAAGAAAGGCAAACTCCGCTGTTGAACGGAGGAATCCCTGATGTGCGAAGGACCAAATCTGTGAACGTTTGGTGCCAAACCAATCGGAGCTCAGTATTCAAGAAAGAAGCGATAATTCTGTCAGTGTACAGTTTAAAGGGCGTTGATTGTTTGAGAATTTTCGCACATTCGGTCCTTGGCACATGATAATAGCCTTCTATCGAGAAATAAGAGATTTTCAGAAAATGATTATACGCTGGCTAATTATTAATCCGACTTGTGCAGCTTCTCTGTTTTTAAATAAGAATGTCCGAAATTTTTGGAATTAATTTTAAGTTCTTACACAAACGATTATAGTATTAACATTTACCCCAATCACAAATAAAAGTGCTAATTTAGCGACACTTTTGTTACAAAAAAAACATTTGTAATTTAACATCGTGTTGCGAGGACGTGAGACTCCTAATTTTGAGTTCCGACACATCAGAAGTTTTGTTTCACTTTTTTCTTTCAACTTTTAGACCTACTTTATGCCGTATACCTGTTTGTGTTTGAGAATTTCAGCTTCGCCTCTGAAAAACAATTACTGTTACGATCACTGTCATAGAAGTGGAAAAAACTATGGCGGTGGGATTTCAACCAACTTTCGCTTCCTCAAATAATGCTCACAGTGATTCAAGCGTAGTATCTTGTTGACGTTATTTCAGTCCTAAGTAAATGTATTTTTAAAGTTTCAAAAAAAGTTTTCAGGCTCAAAATCAGATTAAGAAATCAAAACCGAATTTATGTTTCGACCTGAACACTTTTTGAAAATTTCTACAGTTATAGTTGTTTTTAGCTAATATTAAGTTTAGGTCCTGCGATTTAAACGTCTTTCAGTCGTCCGTGGTTAAAAAAACGGAAATTTTGAAACAAAAATCTCATTTTTTCTTAAATTGTTTTTCAATTTCAAGTGAAATTACTGTGGTCGAGACATGTTGTGCTATTTGAACAGCAAAGGGCTATCATTTTTTCATTTTTAGCTTTCATTGTTTTTATCTATGCTTCTGATTTTTTTCGAAAGTTTTGCCCCCTGTATTTGTTACTGGAGATTTACTGCGATCTTTGAACGCATTTTTTTGTAATGGGTTAAAATTCAAAAAGCAATGGGGGAACATGAAAAATTTGATCAGAGTTTGCGAGAAACAAGCGAATTTGTTACGTGAATTTCCTAGGTATTGTATCATGCAATTGCTGCCGTGGAAATGCAGGATGCTAACATGTGTAATGTTTGAAAATCTAAATGCGAATAATTTGTTTTTATATTAGGTAATATGAAGTTTCTCTATGAAACTCATTGGAAAAATGTATTGTTTTGTGCATTCGTGGTTTTCGTTTCAATTATTGTCAGCTTAATTTTTTTTTAAGTCCTGACATCTAGTATTTTATCTAGTACAGCGTAGAACTTACAAACAGACTGAGTGATTCATTTTATATATAAATCAATTTTTGAATGAAATTTTATCACATTTTTTTGATTTCGAGGTTTTCGTGTTAGCTTTTGTCGGCCTAATTTATATTTTTTCCAATATTTGCTGTATTATCTGATACAGGGTTTGTAACGATTTTCAAGAAATGATTATACGCTAACTTTTTTTCTGGCTTTCATATAAAGAATGTTTGTGCTGGGTGCAGTTTTCTTCAGACAGTTTCTCTTATTATTTTTTACAATAATTTTGGACGAATTTTCTGTATTCCATGTTTACGCAAGCTAGTGTAGTGTTGTAGTACCAATCTTTTTCATCAAACCGAACACGCGAAAAAACGCTCATTTTCTGGAACTTTCAATTCATAGCAAGGCAATTTATTGACTTTTTTGGTCCCTTGTATTTGCGCCTTTTCAAGTGAACATATGTAGTAATGTCAACATTTTTACTTTTGTTGTTTAATTCCGTTTTTACAATGTTCTCTGTATCATCTAAAACAGCCTGCTTGTTACAGTTTTTCAACAAATGATTATACGCTAACTATTTTTTTCCGACTCACATAGAAAGAATGGAATGTTTGTACTGGGTGCAGTTTTATTCAGACCTTTTTTCTGATTCTTTTTATAACAGTTTTGAACGAATTTTTTGTATTCCATCTTTACGCAAACGAGCGTAGTGTTATATTACCAAATTTTTTTATCAAATATTAAAACAGCTCATTTTCTGGAACTGTTGATTCGTAGCATTGGCAATTTATTGGATTTTTGGAGCCTAGTATTTGCGCCTGTTCAAGCGAACATAAAAGGGCATTTTAAATTTTTGATTTAATTGTATTATGGTTTTGTGCGCTCATTTTTTGTGCACGTTTTAATTCGTCGAATAGAACAGTGCGCCCAATTATCGTTTTTTTTTTTTGGTTTGTTAGGTGGCAGATTTGCTAGCGTATCGATTCATTTGATCTCGCTTATCGAATGGAGGAATGGAGTGAAATTGCATTTGTGCTCGCTTAACAAAGACTAGGTGAAAGTGTGCGTTTCGTCAAACGCGTTTTAAGAAGGGTTAGATTTTGACAACAAATAATGACGGCAAAAACTGCTCAATTTTTGCGAGAACTGCTAGCTAATTTATTGCGCGATTTTTGCTTACAAGGTTTTCTCTTATTTATTGAGAAAGAATTTTTCTTTAAAAAAAACGAATATCAACGCATTACTGGTTCAAGAATGATCGGTAGTTTTATAAATTGTCAGCAAAAAAGTACTCATTGTTCTTCGTTGAAAGCAATCAAATCGACAAGAGTTTTGAAATTCAATGAGCTGTGTTGTTTTTACGCTTGTGATTAGCAAGCATTATCAAACCGGATTATATTATTTTTTCGGGCTGACAACTTATTTAACAGAATCACCGGTATCTTGGTTCATAATGAATTCTAACTTAAAAGCGGATTGAATTGACTTAAAAAGGGATTTCGCTTTTCATACATTGAAAAACGAAATCCCTATCCGAACTGTGTGAATAGCTGAACGTTTTCTCGACAGCTGCATTTACCCTATGTGTGTAGTCTGTTATTATCTATTTTGGCATCATGTACAGCGAAATTTTTGTTCGGACTTTCGATACGAAAGTAACGGAATATTTGTGCTCGGGGTGGGTTTTTTTTTCTTCTGACAAATTTCGACTTTTTAACTAGCCATTTTTGACGGATTTTTTTTATATCATGCAAAAGGTATTGTTGTCTTGAGCTTAAATTTGAAAAGATATTTCACCTGTGATCATTTTTCGTTAAGTTATGGGGGTTTAAAGATTGCCATTTTGGCCAATTTTGCGACAATTAACGCGCGATATATTTCGCGCTATTAACGCGTAAGCGGAGATGGAGAGTTAATCCGTCATAGAAATCGTTCCAAATTGGCTGAAAGAAGCTTATTTGCCATAATTGGTTTAAAATAGCGAAATCTATTCTTTTGTACTTTATATGTCGTGTGGGGGAATGATTTCATAAAAATTTCAAATTTTAGAATTTTTTTTTTCATTTTATTTTATTACATTTAGTTTTTTTTTGTAACTACTGCCCCATAAACCTTAAAAGGCAGTCGGAACATACAGGGCTTCGCCCTGATACGAGCAGTCTTGTTAGACTTTAGTTTTGCCGCCTTCTTGCATGTGCTTGCAAAGTGCAGCTTCGCCTCTGAAAAACAGTGGTTGTTGCGATCACTCTCTTAGAGTTGGAAGTAACTATGGCGTGGGGATGTTTTGACTGCTTCAAATAAAGATAGCAGGGTCAAGTGTAGTATAATATTAACCTGTTTTTGATCCTGATTAATCTTTAAAAAATGCAGGGATTCGAGTGTTATCATCATATTTACGTAAATTTGGTCCTGATTGGCCTTTTTACCCTTGAGATAAGACAAGCAAGGGTAATACAATCGGGTACTAAATTGATGGCAAATTTGACCTGAAATCTTAATTCTGATACGATTCTTAGCGGTCTTCGGTATTATTTCATTTTATTTTTGCGGTTTTAAGCTAATTCAATCGTCCTTCATTAAAGAAAGACACCGATAATTTAAAAACAAAAATTGAAGCTCTCGAGTTCAGAATTAAATAGATTGTTCACGTGCGAGTATTGTTTTCGAATTTATAGGATTTCGAAATTGTCAATTTGGCAGCAATACTAGACTTATTTATTTTCATTTATCTGTAACGCTCGAAGGGTATGTGTGCTTGTTTTTGCACGCTAATTTGGCCACAATGATCCTAAGTTGAGTCAAAGCAAGCTAGTTTGTCCACTTTTTTCCTAATACAACAAAATAACATCACTTGGTCGTGATGCTGTTTGTAGGCAGAAAATTGAATCAAAAGATATTAAATTTTAATACCTCTCATTTAAGTTTAGTGAACGATTTGAATTTTCTTATTTCTAGTCATTTGATTTTTTTTCTGGAAAATGTTTTAGATTATGACTCTACTTGATGTCTTAATTACATGAATTCACATTCAATGCGAAATTTATGCTCTGCAATAAAAAAAATGGCAAATAGCAGTTTTGTTTGCATTTGTGGATTTTGAGGTCCCCAGCGAGCCAGCGAGTAAAAATATGCCTCTTGATCCAGTTTATCCAGCTTACTCGAAACTGTAATAGCTGTTCTGTGATGTAAATTTTTAGAAAAAAACTTTGTTGGTAATTCTCTGTTGGCAATTTTTCTTTAACCGAAAAACTTGAAGTGCAGTCCGAACATCGAAGGCTTTGCCCGTTTTGCGAGCAGTCTTTTCATAATATCATTTTAGTTTCAGAAAATCTGTCAGTAGGTTTCTTTTTGTGTAAAAGGACGAAGGAGTTTTTACTTATATAAGTCGTGTCGTGATGATGTTTTTTCAGGAAAGTCTCAAAATTTGTTCACGCTCAACTTTGCTTTTTCACTGTTTGGTTTCGATTGTTATAAGGAAGTCAAACTCCACTATCGGCTTTTACCTTCAAAAAGTTTCAATCATAAACATCTTGATATTCAAAGAGCTTCAACGTGATAGTACTTAGTTTTTGAAATTCGAAAGTTGGAAAAGGTTCCGAAGTTTTCGATCAAACTTGCTTTTGAGTTTCCATGAGTTCTTTATTTTTTCGAACTGTCTGTTTGCTATATTCTCAAATTCTAAAACTAGGAAAACATTTTTTCATCTTTTCAAATAACAGTCTTTGTTTACTTCACCGAATTTTTTTATATAAAATGCACCGCGTGCATATATATTCTCTATTTCATTGTCTTCAAAAAGCAGAAGAAAACGTGATATGCTTGCATTTCAGCCCCGGGAGCGTCTCCAATTTATTCTGAGTGGAGAGGCTACAATTGAGGCGCACCTGCAATTCCTCATGCGACAGAACAAGACAGACTTGGTGCAGCTGAAGGCTGTGAAAGAAGCCACGAGGAACTCGATCCAGCACAACGCCACAGTAATCGCCAATGGGTTCATGCATTGCGGAACGACCACAGATGCATTCCTCAGGTACAACACCTCAAGAGCATGTCAGGCATTTTTTTGTTGGAAGTTGTAGTGTAACTATATCTGTAACTGAATCCAGCTGCACGGAGTATGTACTAAATAAACGTTCAAGCTATAGCTCAGTTATGAATTTACGATCACATGCATAAAGACTACTACCGGAAAGCTGCTAAAAACTACAGCAGTAAAACTAGTTTTATTATAAACCTCACTTCTTCAAACCGTTAACAGTATCTCATCTGCATCGGATTCTTTTCCGCGCCCAGAAATCTGTTTTTATAAAATTAACGAAATATGATATGGGCACTGCGAAATTCAGGAGCACCTCCTTGTCTGCGATAGAGAGAATGCATTATTAGAAAAAGCGAGAAATGAAATTGCTGTAGCTTGAGGCAGAAGCATCAATCTATTGATTACTCTTTAAGATAGTTCCATTGTTCAAAATGTAATTTTTGTATTCTGTTTAGGGACAACCTGGACTGGCTGGCTCGTGCCACCAACTGGGCGAAACTGACAGCCACTGCTACTCTAGGAGTCATACACAAGGGGCATGAGAAGGTCCGTCGTAGCATTCAATACATAAATAAAATCCCTATAAATGGTTTCATGCTTTTTATCATGATGCTTTTCGACTTATCATTTTACTCCTCGATTTATTGAGTGTCAATGAACGTAGTTAGTGAAAACACTTATTTAGGTCGTGATTTTTGTCGAAGGCTTCAAAAAAGTCAAGACTTTTGACACTTTTCCAACTGTTTGTTGGCTATGTTTAATATTATTATCGAAACTGATAGTCCTGGCCAAATAATTGAATGTTTATTAAGTCAACAATCTTCATGTGACCTGAATTTAAATAACGCTTATCCTTCCAATGTCGAACACCGATTTTGTTTTAAAAAATTTATTATCTTATGAAACGTTTTTTAACCCTTTTTCTCTCGTAGGATGCACTGGATCTTCTATCAGTCTACCTCCCAAAGGGCTCGTCCACTGGAACATCGAGTGGCTACATGGAAGGAGGGGGACTATACGCACTGGGACTAATCCATGCTGGACATGGCAAAGCAATCATCGAGTACCTCATGACTCAGGTGAAGGACGCCGTTAATGAGCCTGTGCGACACGGAGGATGTCTGGGACTGGGCCTGGCAGCACTGGGATCTGGAAGATACGACGTTTATGATCTACTTAAGCAAAACTTGTTTCTGGATGATGCTAATGTTGGAGAAGCTGCAGGAATTGCAATGGGTCTGGTGATGTTGGGTTCTGCGGATCCGCAAGTGTTCATTGACATGACATCATATGCGCATGAGACTCAACATGAAAAAATTGTCAGAGGGCTGTGTGTCGGAATTGCACTGCTGATGTACAGAGCGCTGGAAGAAGCAGATGATTATATCGAGATGTTAAGTAATGACAAAGATGCTCTGCTGAGACGAAGTGCTGCATATGTGACTGCGATGGCATATTGCGGAACCGAACACAACAAGTCGCTCAAGAGACTTCTAAGAGTAGCCGTTACGGATGTGAACGATGATGTTAGGAGAGCATCAGTCGAGGCAATCGGGTTTCTCCTTCTCAGGAGTCCAGAGCAGTGTCCAAATGTTGTTAAACTTCTTGCTGAGAGCTATAACATGCATGTGCGCTATGGAGCGGCCATGGCTTTGGGAATTGCATGTGCAGGTACAGGAAATAGGGATGCCCTGAATATTTTGGAGCCCCTTATCAAAGATTCGCAGAGTCTAGTCAGACAAGGTGCAATGATTGCAAGCGCAATGGTTCTGATTCAACACACACAAGTGAAGGTAGCAAAGGTGAAAGAAATAAAGGATCTGTTTTTCAATACTGTAAATGACAAACATGAAGACACAATGACCAAGTTCGGGGCTATTTTGGCGATCGGAATCGTGAATGCGGGAGGTCGGAATTGTACTATATCGCTGCAGTCTAGAAGTGGTCATATATCTTTACAGAGCGTAGTTGGCATGCTATGTTTTCTACAGTTCTGGTACTGGTTCCCGTGTGCCAATTTCCTATCACTTTGCTTTTCGCCGACGTGTGTAATTGCTCTAAACAATCAGCTAAAAATGCCTAAGATGCAGATTAAATCTAACGCGCCTCCGTCCCATTACGCCTACCCGCCAGCTATGGAGAGCAACACAAAGAAAGAACAAGAGAAAGTGGAGACAGCAGTTTTGTCCATTACCGCAAAAGCCAAGGCTCGTGAGAAGCAAAAGCAAAAAGACAGCGGAGAAAAGATGGACGTTGATGAGACAAAAGAAACCCCAAGCGAAGGGGTTGAAAAAATGGAAAGCGAATCGGCAGCTCCAAGTAGCAGTGACTCAAAAAGAGAAATTAAAATGTCAACCAAAGAAGATTCAAAGACACCAGCAAAAGATAAGGAAGAAAAGGCTGATAAAGTAGCATCACCGACGACAAGTACAACAAAAGAAGTAGTTGCGACACCAGCTGCAGAAAAGAAGCGAGAAACGGAACCGTCTTTCGAACTCCTGGACAACCCGGCGCGTGTGATGCCCCAACAGAGAAAAGTTGTCTGTTTACCAGAGGGGTGTGGGTACACGAGTGTGAAACCAGTTAGTCTGGGAGGCATTGTGATTGTGAGCAAGGTTGATAAGGAATCAGAAGAAGAGTTGGTACCGCCTGTCCCGCTGGGCGGCAGCAAGAAACAGGAGGACGATGAACCGGAACCAGAAGCACCCGAAGAGTTTGAATGGACTGAGGATTGAAATTTAACCACCCAACAATGAATGAAGGGACTTGAAACTGCGGCGTATAATGAAGAGACGTAAATGTAATTATGATTGTGAAGTTCACAGTTAACATTTTGGCGGTAGTTGTTGAAATTATGCGATGTAAAATTGGAGGTATTGTTTCAAATTGATCTTAAAATTAAATGAAAACAACTGTGTTGAATTTACTTCTTGAACCACAGTTTTGGTACGACGAGCTTTACGAAGGTTTTTGTTAATCGCGGTTGTAAAGTACCAAAGTAACCATTTTGAAGCCGTGTATCATTAATCCTCTCAGTTTTGACGTCTCATAATTGACGTCTCAGTGCTAATTTAATGCTGAAATTGAGTTTTTCTATTTATTTCGTTAAAAATTAAACATCAACGTTTGTAATTTTTTTGTCATTTTGCTCTACATGTTTTCCACTTCGTAGCTTAAGTTGAATTTTCTCACCGGTAGCTTGCAACGATTTGTAAGTTTGTACCGCAAGTTTTGCGAAGCACCGCTTCGCCTCTGCGTTATTAATATAAACGCTTCAAAGATTTAAGATTTTTAAATTACAATTTTTTGTGCCACATTCGAGCCGTTTCTTGCGTTAAGAGCTGTTGTAATCATAAGGAAAAAAGATCGAGCTCAAAATGTTTTATGATTTTAATTTTAGGTTGGGTTTATAGTATCTGTTTGGTATCAATTTCAAGTTAAAAAATGATAAATTTTTCTTTATTGCTGTCTTTTTTCACTAAATTTTTGCTATGGTTTTGCTGATTGCTTTTTACATTCGCGAGAGCAAAAGTCTTGTGATCGGTAACTAGATTTTTTTTACCGTAAACATTTTGTACAACTCTTTTTTGCTTTTCTTACTTGTTTCATGATTGAACCTTAACAACTTTCAGGCACGTTCCCGCTTGGCGTAGAGGTAACGTCGACGCCGTTGCTTTCTGATGGCTGGGATTCGAGCCCAAGTCTGACCTTATTTTTTCATTTCAGTTTATATTCAATTGTTTTTTTTGTTGAGGTTAAATTGTCGTTTGTCTGCTCAAATTTTGTCTGTAAGCAAATATCACGAGAGTTACAAGTCTTGATCATTTAGTTTCAAGGTTAACTCAAAATGTTTATTTGTTTTTTTAAATCAATTTTTTTTCAGCTGAACTGGTAACTACTCAAAAAATGTCGGTTTTCTTCCACTTCGTAAGTTTTGTTCAGTTGCTAATTTAAAAGTCAATATGTTGTTTGGCATGTTTGCCTAGAAATCCTGTGTGAAAACAACAGGTATTATGAACATGCATTGATTTGGGTTTATCTATCTATATCTATCTATCTATATCTGTCTATATATCTATCTATCTATCTATATATATCTATCTATCTATCTATGTATATCTATCTATCTATCTATATCTATACTTTATTTAAATGCTAGTGACAGCTATCTCCCATGTTTAAGCATAATAATTCTGCATGTTTAACGAAAGAATTTTTTCATGTTTAAGCTATATCATGTATTGCAATGCGTAAGAAAATTTTTCATTAATTTTCCCGCAAGGTCATTAATTTTTCACTAATTTTTTTCGAGGCCAAATTAAGTCTATCTTGATTTGATTATGTCTGTCTACACGTCTCCTAATTTTTTTATTTTTCTTCTATCAAATCTATTATATATTTAAATGCGGGCTTCACTATCTCGCCATGTTTAAGCTTTTTCAACGTATTATTTTTGCATGTTTAAGCTATATCGTATATTGCAATGGTTTAAGATTTTTTTCGATTTTCTAATTTGATTTTAGTGGTAATTTTACCGAGTTTAAGTTAAGCAGCCCAATATCGAATTAGGGGTTGCGAATTTGGCCTCCAATTTTGAATGCCCGAATCATTTTAGTTAAGATTTTTTCAATCTTATTTTCAGAAAACTTAAATTAATTTTTTTTCGCAAAATCTGAAATTCTCAACCCTGTAGATGAGTCCTGTCAGAGTAATCTCAAAGATTGCGCATCTTGCCTCCAAATATGACTGCTCAATTGTAGTTTTCGAGATATGACGTTTTTTGTGATTTTTTCAAAATTTTTCAGAAAACTTGAATTATTTCTATTCTTTAAAAATCTGAATTTCACAACCCTGTAGTTAGGTCCTATCAAAGTACTCTCAAGGATTGCGAATCTTGTCTCCAAATATCACTGGTCAATTCTTTGTAGTTTTCGAGATGTGACGTTTTTTGTGATTTTTTCAGAAAGTTTAAATTAATTATTTTTCAAAATTTGAAATTCCCAACTCTATAGTTCGCTGTTGTCAGGGTACTCTAAAGAGTTGTAAATCTTGCCACATGCAACTGCTAAACGCGACTGCTCAAATGCTTTTAGTTTCCGAGATGTGACGTTTTTCGATTTTTTAAAAATTTCTCAAAGAACTTATCTACAAAGAAATTCAAAAAATTTGAAACTACTAACTTGATGAAGATACAACCTTATTGTCAGCGTACACCCAGGCGTCTCAAATCTTGCCTCTTAATATGAATGCTCAAATCCTTTTAGTTTCCGAGATAAGACGTTTTTTTTTTTTCATTTTTTTTTTCGGGAATCTTAAGTTTAAAAAAGTTCACAAAATTTTGGATTCCTAATCCTATAGTAGGGTGCTCTCAGGGAGTCTCAGTGGTTGCAAATCTGGCTTCCAAATTTCTCCAGAGGCCAAATAAGTTTTCGAGATGACGCTTTTAAAATGGGAATTTAAAAAAAAATTAAAAGTTCGAAATTACCAAACCTGTAATTAGGTGCGGTGCCGTCAGAGTACACTAAAAGTTTGCAGATGTTGTTTCCAATATATGCGGTTTTTTTCATGAGTTGTCGAAAAATTTCGGAGCACCGAATGTGCGTTAATTGCTAGTTATATATTCAAATGCGGGCTTCACTATCTCGCCATGTTTAAGCTTTTTCAACGTGTTTTTTTGAAACTTAAACAAAAGAATTTTTTCACGTTTAAGCGATATCGTATATTGCAATGGTTAAGGTTTTTTTCAATTTTCACGTTTAAATTCAGTTTTTATTTCATCAAATTTGTAATTAGCAACCCAATAGTTGGATGTTGTCAGAATTTTCCCAGGTTTTGCGATTCTGATTTCCATATATGAACAACCAAATCCTTGTAGTTTTTGAGATGACGTTTTTTATGATTTTTTCAAAAATGTTTTTCAAAAACTTATATTTTAAAAAATTCCAATACATTGAAGATCGCAGTCCTGTTGTTGGATTTTGTGAGGGTACTCTCAAGGGTTTCGAATCTTGCCTCTAATGGCTGCTCAAATCCTTGTAGTTTTCGAGATATGACGTTTTTTTTCGGATTCTTAAAAAATAAATTCAGAAAATTTAGATATAAAAAAATCACAAAATTTGATATTCCCATCTCGGTGGTAAAGTTCTGTCAGAGTACTCTCAGGAGTTGCTATTTTTGCCTCCAAATATGACTGCTCAAATCCTTGTAGTTTTCGAGATATGACGTTTTTTATGATTTTCTCCGAAATTTTCAAAAAAAAATTAGATATTGAAAAATTCCAAAACTTTGAAGATCTCAATCCTGTTATTGGAATCTGTGAAGGTACTCTCATGGGGTTGCAAATCTTGCCTCTGAATATGTCTGCTCAAAATCTTGTAGTTTTCGAGATATGACGTTTTTTAGGATTTTCTCACAATTTTTCAGAGAACTTGGGTATAAATATTTTTTGTAAAACTTGAAATTACCATCTCAGTAGTGAGGCTCGTTCAGGGTACTCTCAAGAGTTGTGCATTTTGACTCCAAATATGACTTCTCAAAACCCTGCAATTTTCCAGATATGACGTTTTTTGTGATTTTTTTATAAAAAATTTTATGAAAATTAAATTAATTTTTTTCTCAAAATTTGAAATTCCTAACCTGTAGTTAGGGGCTGTCAGCGTAATCTCAGGAGCTGCAAATTCGGCCTCCAATTAAAAGTGCTCAAATTTTTTTAGCTTAAGAGATACGACGATTTTTGTGATTTTTTTTGCAAATTTTTTTGCTTAATTACAAAATAGTTAACTAAAGTGAAATTCCCAACCATGTAGTTGTGTCTAATAAGATTGCTCAAATCTCGGTAGTTTTCGAAAAATGAAAGATTTTCTGGTTTTCAAAAAAAACCTCCTTTTAGAAAACTTAAGGTGAAGTTTCTCAAAACTTGAATTTCCCAGCGTTGTAGTTGGGTACTGTAAGAAAACTCTCAGGAGTTGTAAATCTTGCGTCCAAATGCGACTGTTCAATTGCTTTTAGCTTCCCAGATGTGACGTTTCTTAGTTCATTTTAAATTTTTTGAAGAACTTATATAAAACTTCACAAAATTTTGTGGTTCTTCAAAATTTGTATAAAAACCTTGAATAAAATTATTGCAAAATTTGTAAACACGACTCCTGTAATTGGGTGCTGTCAAAGCACACTCAAAGAATGCAGATCTTATTTCCAATATATGCGGTTTATAATGAGTACCGGAGGTGCGTTTAACGCTAGTTTTGTTTTGATTTTTTTGCGTAGCTTTGGAGAATTTTTTCAGTTTTGCAAAGTTTTTAGTTTTCCACAAACTTTTCTGCCTATTTTCTAAAAGAGGTATTAAGATCCATTCCAAATCTGAGATATTGGGTTCCTTGAATAGAAAAAGTTGTGAAAAGCTCCCTTGCATAAGCGGCTATGCCCAAACTTTTCTACAAGAAAAGTTATGACACTCGGAAAGTCAAATATTACTTGATTTTTTCTTTCCATATGATTGTATTTAACAAGTTCCATCCCCACATGGCGTAAAGTGGTTGAAATTGTGCTTGAGAATTCATCAACAGGTTCCATCCCACATGGCCTAAAGTGGTTGAAAATGTGGTTGAAATCCGAAGGAACCTTTTTTCAGTATGAAAAAGAATGGATTTTTTTTCGGTAAAAATCCAATTGTCGGGCTTCTTTTTGTCTGCTCAAGTGTTGTCGGCCTTGTTTCCTTATGGACTTTTTCTTGTGCTGTTAACAATTTTTATTACAGTTGAACGTGTTTTTTGTTCTAGTTTCTGTGAGGATTTGACGCTTTTATACATAAGCTGTTTTTTCTGCTCAACTGGTGTCTGCTTAACAATTATCGGCTTCGTTTTTGCTTTTTAAGTTTTGTTCCGCTGCTAATTACGCTTGCGATTAGCAAGTATTATCAAATCGGTATATAGATTTTTTTC